CAACAACAACAACAACAACAACAGCAACAACAGATACCGCATCCGCATCAGGTAGCCAACAGTCCACATCATCATCATCAGCAGCAACAGCAGCAGCAACAGCAGCAGCACCAACAATCGCAGCAGCAGCATCATCATCATCAGTTGGCCTCGTCCAGCCTCCTCGAGGTGCAACAGCAGTCTCACACATCGAGGGGCGGCGATGAGGCCGGCCTCATGGAAGTGGAGGCCGGGGCCGGGATACCTGGAAGCGGAGTGCTCGCCGGTGTGCCAACAGCGGTCGGTATCCGAGCGGTGGGTGCCGCGGCTGGTAGCGGTGCCGCGAGTGCAGCCTATGGGGACAGCGGTTCCGACAGCGGGGTAAGCTCCTTGAGGAGCGCCGGCTCCGGCGACGAGAGGAGCGGCAGCAGAAGTTCCGCGCTCAGCATAGACGAGACCACCAGCTCGTCGACGCCGACGGCGGCCACCACGCCGGCTAGGGTCTGGCACGTGCAGAGCGTCCAGCACACCTCGTTACTGATGGCGCATCCTCAACCACCTCCGAGCGCCGGACCTAGTTCCGCGGCTGCAGCTGCCGCTGCCACGGCTCCGCCGGTCGGCTACCAGAGCCCCGCACCGCCGCCACCCGGTCATCATCATCCTGCCGTCGCGTCCGAGATGCTCTGGAGGTCGCAGAGGTACCCACCATTGCCGCACTCGTTGCTCGGGCCCGCTCAACCCACCACCGAGGAGATCGTCGAGAGGGAGAGGATCCTTCGGTGAGTCTTCATTTTGTTTTATTATTATCTTGACTACTTCTGCTTTTTATATTGTTGTACGTTTCGGTTAATTTCTCGGTTCTTTCCCGACGAGTTTAGTCTACGTGAAATTCTCGAAGCGAGTTGAAACATTTTCAAATTGTCCGCGAATTGAGCGCGCTCGTTGAAAAATTCAGTTCGAGCATATTACCGACAAACCGCGGATTTTCGTGCAAGTTTTTACTTTTGAGGGCACAGTTCAAAAGTATTACGTTATGAACAACGTGTTGTACGAAATTTTTCTACAAATGCGCAAAAATCCGCAGTCCATCGAGAGACTCTCATCTTCTCCTACAGTCTGCTAGTAGAACGTGTCGGTCGAATCGATCGAATCGGTTAAATTTCCCCGTCACGTCTCATCGCCGCGCCGTGACGATCGAACTTTGGTATTTAAATTTCACCAATCGCAGCGCCTCGCTGTTTATCCTACACTTCTACCCTCTAAAGCCACTAAACTATCTCGTACCATTTGGAACTTTCGTACGCAACCTTCCAACAAATCGTCGGAAACGATTTTCGAGACGCCCGTGTCCAATTCGACAACGACGACGACACCGTGACGGGGCAATTTTTCGACTCGCTTGGCTCGGTTTCAATGGTCGCGGCAGCAGTTTTTGCACCTTGCGTGCATTCAGCTCGGTCAGGAAACGCGAAACGCCATCGGGGAAGATCGCGTTGCGAACGGAGGGCAGCTGCGTGGCCGTCGTTTTCTCGCCTCGAAAACGGCTGGCCTCGGCCTTTCGACTGCCTCGTTCTTTGTTCGCTCTTTCTCTCGCGTGACTGCCGACTGCAAGAAGAGGGAGGTGACGAAAAACTGGGACCAATGGAGAGGCAGACGGGACGTGGCTGCGCGTTTTCTACGTTTCCGGGACGGCAGCTGCTGCGACACGCTGCCAACTTCCGGTTACGGTGATCGCGATAGTGAACTCGTTACCGATCGAACCCGTTTCTCTCTCGAGGCCTGGTTTCGCTGACGGCGACCAACGACCGAAATTCCTCCGCCTTCGGGTATAAATAAAGCGAACCCAGATCGGCTCGCCGACCGATCGAGAGTGTCGGTGAACTTTGCTCTACCGAAGTCGAACGCGATCGACGATGAACCTCTTTCGGGATGACGTTCGAATCTACGATTTTCTTCTCGAAACCTCGGTAAACGGATTGGTTGTTGCCGAATATTATCGATAATTTATAATAATTTATCGAGAGCATTGTATGTAGTTTGTATTTTGTGAATCTTCACTTTGAAGAATTGAAATTAAAAGTTCTCTTTCAAATCGAAACCATGAATGGTAACTCAAAAATAGAGAAACTTTGGAAAGTAAAAAGTCTGATTTTCGTGGAAAATCCTCCTCTAAATGATGTAAAATTTCGATATTTTTATGAAAATCCTTCTTCAACGATCAGATGAAGTAATGTAATAATTTTATGTGTGTGTACATTAGTATGAAAATTCGTACGAAGGTTCGTTCCACAAGTGCTCGTAATTTTACGTTCCAGTTAAATTGACGATTGACAAATATGAGACTCGAGCTGATGTTTTTTAAGTAAATAAAGCTATTCTGCAACTTCTTTGAGCCTCGTGATCGATGCAATTCTCAAATCACCGTTCTTGATCAAGTCAACATACAACGTGCGAATATATCGAGCCTTAACAAAATAACTCTTCAGCTATTTCAAGACATTTCTTCTCGAATTATATTTTGCCGAAAATTTTGTTTACCACGCGCGAGCACGTGTGCTAAAAATCGTAACCAAGCGAACGTCTCGTTCGAAGGAAGATCGAGATCGCACGTTCTTCCGCGACATTGGTATTGAACAGCGCCTCGCCGTTCGTTTGTTAGTTCGTTGCTGATAGCTCCTCGACGAAAATAAACCAATAATCGAGTACATACCACAGATCGTTTTCAGCCCCCGTATATTTACGTCGGCGAAAGCACCAAATATCCCGCGACACTGTGGACGATGCGTGACATGTGAGAATGTTGGTCTTGGAGAACAGAAGGGATCGTTGTCGCGTAAATTTTCGTGTCGAGCGTCTTACGAGCTCATTCTTCTCGTCCGCCGTCGACTTAACGATCGTCGTCGCTCGAATAAATTGCCCTAGGTAGTCTGATAGGTTCTAATAATCTCCAGCGTTTCAACT